AGATTAATCTTTGGCCACACAATCGTTTGAGGAAACTATACTTTTAATCAATATAAAAACTAGAAAACATCGTTTCCTCAAATTACTGGGGTAGTCTGTTTACATATATACATATATGGTGGCGGCCATCTTGGATTTTGACGTGGCCACCCAGTTTCTGACAGTGATCTTTGTTACACCTACATGCAGCCGCACAACAAAATGGAAATGCACTTGTTTTTCAAGTTATCCAGCGAGTGTTTCCAGTTCCCTCTGCTCCATGACGAGGGACAAATACAGCTGCCATAACTGCCTGAACGCGTTCCCTCAAATCTAAACTACCAGAATATCCTGATCCATGCTCAATAATCCCGGTAGATAAATCTAACCAGGTGGAGTCAGGTCCTCTGGATGATTCTTCTTATTGAAACGTTTCGTCTTTTATCCAAAGGACTTCTTCAGTCTGAGGAGCTGCAACAAACTCAGTCTTATAAACAGCACCTTCTCGTGGTGGATCAACCAGTTTGTTGATGACATCCAGAACCAGCTGTTCACATGATGGAGGACCAACAGCCTAACAACTGATCGTTAGTGCCCTGATGGCCGCTTGCTATTCACAGAGGGCTGAGTGATGGTAACAATAACAGCATTGTAAGAGGGGGACAGTTGGACCCGGAGGCTCCGCCCCATTTAATGATGGACAGGTTCTCTTGACAAAGACGGCTTTGAAAGGAGTGAAGGAAGCCATCTTTGTGAAGAGAAACCGTGAGTTTGTTGCAGCTCCTCAGACTGAAGAAGTCCTTCGGATGAAAGACGAAACGTTTCAACAAGCAGAATCTGTCCAGAGGACCTGACTTAAATTACCAGTCTCCAGTGTTAATCCAGTATTTATCTACCCAAACCTCCGGTAGCTCCGGTTTGCTGAGTTTCCGTTCAGGTTGATGTGTGTGAATGAGTGAAAACAACAAATCAGCTGGAAGAAACGTTGTAAAGACCATTTTTAATCTCACGTCTCTCTGGTTGCTTTGTGATGATCGTTGTGTTGAGGCTTCGTGTGTAGTACTAGTACTAGTACTAGTACTAGTACTAACATGTACACATTGGCTGACTAATGCTTGTGTTGTGAGCTGCACTTTGGCCAACGACAGATGTTTAAATGTGCTACATAAATAAATTTGATTTGAAAGTGATATTTTGGAGTCAAACAAAAGTAAACAGGAACAAATGAGGAGAGTCGGGGACTGAAAGGACGAGAGACCAGGACCTGGACACTGACCATGTTGTCCAGAAGTCCGGGGTACGTCTGCTTTGTTCTGGACCGTCGCGCTAGCCACATGCTGACCTCCCCGCTGCCGCTGACCGTGTACCCGTTGACGTGAACGCCGTAGCGCTTGACGCCGAACAGACCTGCGGGGACGACACACGGCTCACAGAACGCCGACAAAGACGAGGGGCGTCCGCAGACACGTACTTGTAGCGGCTCTTTCCATCCACATGAGAGGGGCGTGGGAGAACCCGGGCATCACGCTGTACCTCTGAGAAGAAGAAGAAGAAGAGTCCACGTCTTATCTGGTCGTTACAAACGTGAGGTTCTAACTGTTCGGCAGAAACGCAAGAAGTTTGTTGACGGCCGCCACAAGTCGAGTAAAACGAGCGCTGAGGTTTGAATAGTTAAAGTTTGTTGTTTTAGATGTTTTTTTATTGAACAGGGAACACAACTAAACCTAAATGTTTTAGGTGAAAGTTTTGTGCTCCTTTCACGTTCTTTTTGTTAACTACAACATTTTTGTGCTTCTTCTATATTCGTTCTGCTAATTTCAGCTTGTTATGCTCGTTTCAAATTATTTAGACAAGTTTCAGCTTTTTCTGCCATTTCAGCTACTATTTTACTGTTTATGCTAATTTTCGCCTTTTTAGCTACAGTAATTCCACATTTTTTGCACTCATTTAAACTTTTTGAGCCTTTTTCAGCAAAAATGTGCCCTCTGCACGTTCTTCTGCTAATTTAAGCTTCTTTCTGCTTTTTAAGCTACAGTTTGCTGCTAATTTCAGCTTTTTTCAGGTAATTAACTTTTTTGTGCTAATTTTTGCTTCTTTCAGCCAAACACGTGTTTCTTCTGTTTTCTTCTGATAATTTAAGCTTGTTCTACCTTTTCAACTAACCAATTCCAGCTGTTTTAAATTTAAGTTTTTCATGGGAATTTCAGCTACTTTCAGCCTAATTAACTTCTTTATGCTCCTTTCAGCTTTTTTCAGCTAGTTTAAGCTTTTTCTGCTTTCTCAGCTAACATTTAGCTGTTTTATGCAAATTTTAGCTTTATCAGCTAATTCCAGGGAGGCTTCTTTCCACCTTTTCAGTTAATTTTCAGCTATTTTTTCCACTAATTTCTGCTTATTTACACCTGATTCAATAAATGTTGTTTCTGTTTTCTTCTGCTAATTTAGGTTTAGGCTTAGATTTTTCTACCTGGATTATTGAGCATGCATCAGGATAATTTAGGCTTGTTCTGCCATTTCAGCTATTAACCTGACTTTTAGATAATTTCAGCTGTTTGTCAGCAAATTCTTCAGCAATAATTATTCACACTGCATTTTCGCAAGAAATACAATTTCTCTAGTATTTTGCATTTTCATTTCTGCTGTTTAAACCCTATTTTTAATCCAGACTATTTCCAAGTCTGTTTAATTTAATCGCATTAATCCCACGGCACCCGTTTCAGTTTAACGTGTTTAAAGAACGATCAAGACAGAATAAAGCACCTCGTCCCTCCAGCCTTGGAGGCAGGTGATGGCCTCCTCCTGTCTCAGGTCTTGCAGGACAGCGTCCACAGCTTCGGATCTGCTCTGGTACGAGTCCAGACTGGGACACAGGCCCACAGCGCCCCCCCGCGGCGGCCCGAACACCTGCGGGTGTCGCTGTAACAGCGACGCCACGTGAGGAGGAATCCAGCCCACCTGAGATCCGTTGATCTCGAACCGGAAGCAGCTGCTCCGACGCGAACCTGCAGAAACAACTCTTAAATAAAAACTTATTTTATATCGCAAAAGCTCGTTATGTTCTCTTCTTCATACCTTGTGAATAAAAGTTGTTCATTCGGCGGAGGAGTTGCAGTATTTTCTCTGACCAGGCACTGGCAGCCATTTTCAGCAACGTTGAACGCGCGCGCGTTCACGGTCACGTTTGGCATCGGAACACTAAAAACCAGGTCCAGGATCTAATCTGGAGAAGAAGAAAAAAAAAACACTAAATATAGACAAGATTCTTTATAAAGCTATAATTTAATGTAAAATCTAATTTATATTTATGAATGTCGCTTGGAGGTAGAATTACAAAACTACAATCCTCGTTCGCCATATGTGGTCAGTGCTCATTTTATTTGTAAAATAAAATAATTGACTGTTTAAAATATGATTTGGGGTTATAGCGCATATGATTAAATCAAAGTAAGAAAATTAAACACGTAACAGGGACATTTACAGACTGAATTCTTTCCTCCCCTCCGTTGAAACTGGGACGCCCAGGTTTCACAGCAGTCAGTGAACGCAACTTGAGTCCTCCAGACCTCCGGTCACAGGAGCGTCTCCAATTGAACGACGAAGAAGAAGAACCGGAAACGGCGAATGTTTTTGCTACATTAATTTAAAGACGATATGAGCTTAAACCTTATTTATTTGTTGATGCATCGGAATAAATAATTTAGCTTAAATGTAAAGGACATCAGCTGCCAGCTAAATGGATCTAATGATAACGATAGTTTAGTTTTTTTTAATAATCGTCGGTGAAATAATTTCTACGTTTTCATCCTGAGAACAAAATAAACATTTATCAGCTGATAATCAGCTGATAATCAGCTCGTTTGACGTTCAGGTAAGATTTACTCTCTTTTTGTTGCAACTTCTGCAGTTCTTTTAATGCGCGCCAAACTGCATTTACATTTTAACAATTTTAAATTTTGAGATTATTTCCATTAAACAAACGAAACAAATCAACTTAATTGATCGTTTAAAGTTATTTAATGTCTCAGACTAATCTTCGGCTGATTTTTCTGCTCAGCACAGATAAATTAAGTTGTAATATTTTTTTGTAATTCTCTAAAATATGTTGCATCCAGAATGGATGGAAATTAGAGATAAACTGGTTTTAATAAACTGGTTTTAATAAACTGGTTTTAATGGACTGGTTTTAATAAACTGGTTTTAAT